TAAAATCACAACCATTACAGTCAAACTACTCTAAGTAGTTTGCCATTTTGTTTCATGACGTTACTGACACAAACATGAAACATTTTTTATTATGCTGCTTAAGTAATTTGTGATGAATATTCCCATTAGAGGTTTCTTAATCATTTACAAATTATCTATCAAACAAATATAAATTACTGTCTTAATCAAGTATTTTGTGTCACGGACGAGTTTCTAAACCCACAAATGCAGTATTTCGTACAGTTTTTTCTTATGAGCACTTGACTGGTCATTACGGCAGATTTGTCTTCAACGAGTGGCTAACGTAATTATTTTTGGTTAACCAAATATTTCTTTAACAAATTCTGGAAATCTAGCTAATTTCCTAAAGATCTATTTACATATGAGATAAATTAGTCAGTTAGCCATTTATTTAGTAATGTTGTGATGTATGCTGCTTATATCTGTCGACATAATTAGTATATGACCCTAATCAGAAGTGGAATGTCTGTCAAAAGAAGGTTGAAAAGATTGAACTTAAGAAAATAAGAAGGGAAACATAGAAGTGAGAATTGGAAGAATTATAAAGAAGTTAAAGGACAATTGATGAAAGATTTGCAAACGAATGTATGGTTTCAAGTTAATTGAGCATTGGATAAGAATCTAATGATTGATATACAAATTGTGGGGAAGTGTATCTCTGATGATGCGTGACTTACTGTAAGCCACTTCTTCAAAGTGAATAAATAACCGAAATAAAATTAACATAATCTTAAATGGTAAATAGGAAACAATACAGAATAACTTCAGTACAATCAAAACCATAATAGGTCTGAATATGTTCAATCCTCAATAATTGATCTTCGACAAATGTTCGAAATAATACATAGTAAATATAATGAAAATAACTTTCAGATTTCTACTTAAACTGGTTCTTATTTTGACGTGAATTAAACCAAACATTCATGATATACAAGTTACATAAAAAATGGAGTGTTAGTGATTTTCTAATGAGATTCAATTTCATGAATTTGTATTAAAAACAATGTAACTAAATTACATCGTTAAATCATGACATTCTACTATTTTTTTTAAATTCTGGCATCTTTCAGAACTACACGTCTATTCATTCCACAGAACTGTAAATTGGCAAACAACACAATTTCAATTTTTCTTCATCAATGACGTCATATATTTTTAGAAATTCATAGAACTTTAATAATTGTGTTTGTTGCCAGTCACCGATTTATATTTCAGATTGCAAATTTTGTTGACATTCAGATGTATAAACATTAAACGTATACCATCATCATCATCAACTAAATCTTACTCATTTAAAATGATTTAATCAGTAGATTAGAAACTTAATAGCCATTAGAAATCAATGTGAAACCCCAGTTTTTCGATTAAACAACTAAATTTTCCTGATCAATAACTGTGATAGTTTAGGAAGTTTTAAGCCCAAACACTTTTATAAAGGTTTTTCGCACAACAATTTTTATGAAACTTAATGACTAGTAAAATATACTGCAAGATAAATAAATAAATTTTATTCTCGTTTTTTTTACAGAAGAGAACATTTGCACGTTTTGTTTTTACCAAGCAGAGAAACACAGTTGTAAACCATCTAGAAATGAATATCATAATAACTCAACAGCTTCAAACAAATCTCATACATACTTTGAAAATCCTGCTCAGACAATAGCTCAAACTAGAGGAGAAACGGCCTTTACCAAACAGATAAAAGTTGAAGGATGTCGTAGTATCAGATGAAAATAATTTTGAAATCTTTGTAAAATCAACTGCAGATAATTGTAATTAATTTATAAGTAAACATTTGATAAGGTGACCGGTTTTTTTATTATCTAGAAAACTAAAACCAACCAAGAAACAATGCTCTGTTTTTTGTCTTAGTTTAGAATTCTTCAGTGTTATATAGTTATAACCATTTAAAAGATCAAATTAATCCTATTTCGGCAGTGCATCAAATTAGATACTCTCAGACAAAGAATTTAGGATCTAATAATACATCCTTTCGACTTCAATCGATTCACGTTATAATATGATCATCATCTGATGCAACTATAGACAACTGTATCAATCTGCACATGATCAAATCCAGTGATCGCCAATAAAGTAAGCTTATATATCCGAAGAAATATTGTTTTTTCGTTTCGCCAGACCGTACTTCCTCTTTACTTGTTTGTGCCCAACATTATTATTTATTCACTTAACTTAAAGTCGACTTCATACAAATTATTATTATAGACCAGGACAATTTAATCATCTACTAATAAGATAAAGATGCCTAATTAATCGACCCTAATTCATTGAGGAATGAGCGACATACAAACCGATTTTATTCAATCTTTTTTGCCATCTAATCACTTTATTCAAATCACGTGATAAATCTTCCGCCTAGAGCAGAAAAAGGATTAATATCAAAAATTTATGTTTACTTAGCAAACAATCGTGACAAATAAATATCAATAGTGAGGGTGTAATTCATATACAAGATAGAAACATAATTTTTAATAAACTGGAAAGCTTTTATAACAAGTTAGGATTATCAAAACTTTCTGAATATTATTACACAATGATCCTATTTTATTTTTGTTGTGGTGATATAATGGATAAGTGTAACAGTTAGGCTCTATTCATTGAAGAATTAGTTATCTATAAAATCAATTTTATTCAGTTGTTTTTTACCACCTAATCGTATTGTTTTCCTGGTAATATTTTGTACATAGCCAAGCAATCTTTAAGTTGAAAAACCATTTTTCTGGTTCATGATATTGTTTTTGACTCAAAACATTCAGGGGGTTTAAGTCAATAAATTGGTCTTGTGAACAATCATTACTCAACCAAATAGTATCATTGCATAAAATCTGCCGTTCTCTTCTCTTCGATCTTTCTAACCTTGTGCCCCCAGGTATTCCGATTTTGATTGGTGATACTACTGTAGTGAAGGAGAACACAGGTAGGGACAACCGAATTTAGATGGTGGTTGGAGGTAATCGACAGGAAACCCTGGACCCGGTTTTCCTGCTACTTGGCACTCGTCAGCAAGGTGTACCTGTAATCTTGAGGGAACTGGTGCTCCCTGGCCGATTCGATCTCGGTGGTAACGTCTCTGACTGTGAAGCTGGGTGACACGAGATCGAATCGGCCAGGGAGCACCAATTCCCTCAAGATTACAGGTACACCTTGCTGACGAGTGCCAAGTAGCAGGAAAACCGGGTCCAGGGTTTCCTGTCGATTACCTCCAACCACCACCTAATCTCAATATATAGTGCCCGTAGTATCGAGTCACCTAGACTGGTGATCACATTGCAAATTGATCGACAGCATTCGACCTACACTAATAAGGACTAGGCACTCACGACATTGATCGCCACCCAGTGATTAACCGATTGTGACAATCGAGCGTAATAAACGCGGAAACTCCCAAGTTAGTTGGTAAAATTGAAAAACCATATAGTAAATCGTTATTTTGCAAAATATCAATCCATCATATCAAACCGGCCTGTTCCTGTTGCAATCATCAATCCATTGTCTCACATTTCATTGTTCATGCGTTTTCTTACAAATTGCATTGTGTTTTTGCTCTTTCTTTTTTATCTTTCCCTCATCTTCTGCTGCCAGACATTACGTTTTAACTCGTGTTATATACTACTTATGTCAATATACGTAGCACGCACCACACTACTTACATATGTTGATATCAGTAGCATACACTACGGCGTATTAAGTAGCAAAAGTGTATTTTAGTACCAGACCAAGTCGTTTAATGAACTTTCAAAATGATTGAAAATTCATTACATAGAAGAAAGGAAATACTACTTTAGATCTAGTTCGTTTTCTAATTTGTGTGCTGCTCAAATTAATGGTTCCTATTCTTCTGAATAACTCAATACTTTTGATCTCTTTAAATATTAATTGTTATGTATACTACTTATATAAGTAGTGTATAGCACCAATCAGAATTATAATGCATGCCAAGAGAAAATCAAGAAGATTCAAATAAAGAGAACATAAAAGTAAATAGAGAGTAATTTTAATTATCAATATAGGGTTGTGCAGATTATTAAATTTTTGATTCACATCATGAACCGATTGATGTTAAACCATTATTGAAAACTTGAAAGCACTGGACGGACATTTCGTTCTATTGTGAACTTCTCAGCAGTGCGCATCTACAATCCCGATCGCGAGATTCGAACCCAGGGCCTTCATTCTCGCATGCGAACGCTTAATCTCTAATTTGAATAACGAAATAATTGAAAAAATCATGAATTGTGCAAAATAATAATTGATGGAAGATGTGAAAATTATATATTTAATAATATGGTTTTCATATTTTGTCATTCCACTACGTAATTTTACGTTGTAGGTCTAGTAATTTCAATAGTTGAGGAGTCCCACACTAAGACGAAACAGCCATCCAGTTCTTCCAAGTTTTCCATGATGGTTTAGCTTCAATTGACTCATGATCTCAACTATAATATGAATTTCCACTTAGATTATCTCAACATATTTAATACATATTTTTATTTTATAATTAATTTTTTATGAAAATTTAATTATTTTTTTTGACAATGTACCTTGTCAAGGAATTAACAATAGTAACCGACAAAATTAAACCAGTTATAATGATTATATTTATTTTAACCAATAGAAGCATAATAGTGATTTTCTATGTTAATGATATAAATATATTTTAAGAAAAACAAAAAAAATTGATCAAATGAACAAGCTAATTAAAACAAAAACACCTTAATTCCAGTAAATAATAGTTGCATTTTAATCAGTATAGTAATAATTATTTTTTTTTAAACAAAAAAAGCGTCTCATTTAAACAGTTAATCAATAAACTGGTGATTTATTTCAACATTTTTTTATTACATGGAATAATTGTAATGAATAATTTTGAATTATAAAATAATAACAACCATAGTAACAGCTGATCATTATTCTACTAATAAATGAATTGATGATTTGTTTTGAACAATTCAATAAAAATGTTTAAAAGAATATTGAAACTTGACAAGTCATATGTAAGTGATGTTTTTCTGGTTTTATTTTATTGATATATAAACATGTATAGAAATCAATTAGAATAGATTTCATAATATGCTTTTTTTTTCATTTAAAATCATTAAATTATTTATTGAATAAGTGAGCTGGCAGTGAACAATGATATTTGATATTGATAGTAACTTCTTTGATATTTAACGTATCTACTGATTATATCCAGTTATTTTTATGAGTAATCAGTTTGAATTATTTTCATACATTTAAACAATATGAACAAAAGATAAGTGAGTAACTGATCCGTTTGTTACATTTCTTTTTATTACATTGAAGTATTTAAGATGATATGTAGAATACACGAAATAGTAATAGATACTGGAATAAAAGTTAAACATGAATAATACAATTGATAAAGAAATTATTGGTGTCATAAATGAAGAAGTATAGAACGTAAATAAGATCATATCCCATGCAAAGGTTTATGATAAATGTTTCTGGGACATTACAATAGATTTTAGACCACAATACTCGAAATTTTTAACCATACATAAATCATTTTAATCTGGAAAATGAATATATATATAAAGTCAATAAAGAATATTTTAGGTGAACTGGTTGAAGTTACACAATAACACTGTTAGATGCCGGCTCAAAGGTCTAGGGGTTAAGCGTTTGCGTGCCAGAACGAAGGTCTTGGGTTCGAATCCCACATGCAGTGTCGTGGATGCTCGCCGCTGAGGAGGCCAGTACTATGATAAAATGGCCGGCGATTGTTCCCAGATTTTCAGCGATGGTCTAACATTGATCAGTTCATGATTTCAATCAGAACATTTTTCTAATATTGGTTCTCTGTTCTTATAATTTCTTGACTGCTGTTGTAGTTATTCTACTATGTTGGTTTTTCTGATACGATGCAGTGTAAGATCTATGATTTCATTTCTATTCTTATTACTAGATGGACACTCAATATTTGGTGTTGTACTAGCGTGATATCCAACAATTTTTTAAACAGCATTTTTGACTTTTAAACTAAATAAGTTCTACATACAAATTTAACTTTCAATTCCATTATTTTCAGAAATACAACTTCATTAGTTAAGTAATTTATAATGGTTTTGAACTAAGGATCGTTTTTATTCACGTGGTATAAGCTTACCAATTTTTTATTTCCTATACTTTTTTTAAATACAGTGAACTACGTAAACTAGTATATTCTGAGTTATATAGGTACTTAAAAGTGACATCTTAGTGAGTACTGTACTGTGTTACAAATGGACTGACGTAAAACACCAGAATAGTACTTAATTGGTTTAAACCCTGTTACGTCCCAACGAAAATAATCAATGTTAACTGTTGGTATCTGTTTATGGACTAATACTATACATATATTTTTATTGTATAATTGTTAAGTAACTAAACTATTCATATTCGTGTTCCTCTTACTATAAGGTTTATTTTAATTTATAGACTGTTATTATGCGATTTACCATTCTTAAGTTATGCCCAGTTTATCAATTACAATCTCCCACATTCACAGTCACTTTTGGCTAAATCTTGTAAAAATGTTATTTTCTATTTCGTGGTACGATGTGGTCTGTTTGGTTTGTATATAAACCCATTATATTTGAAATACGTGATTCATATCGAAGAAACTGAGACTGGTGTTCTGAACTTAACGAGTAGAGTTAAGCAGGAAGCGGGACCGGTAAAGACTATCGACTGCTTGTACGGGTTTTATGCGCCGTTGGTCCGGTCGATAAATCACTGTTCTCTGATTGGTGGTATCATTACGTTATACATTAATGGGGCACAAGGCCACAAGTTATAACAAACCCCTTTTGGGTTATCCATTCACATTGACGAACCATTTGTCTATCCCTCGTTCTTTTCCAGTATTAGATTCGCTGATGTTAACGCATACTAAAGACTAACATTCATATATTTTTGTTGTTGAATTCAACAATGCTTATTTCACTCGGTGAAAAGATATACTAGACCAAATATTAGCTATATAAGTGGATTAGAAATGAATTCTTAAATAATAGTTGCTAGTAACTTAGTCCGTACTGTTTTCACAAATAGGTTTTTTATGATAAAATAAAACAAAATCCATATAGAATAGAATAAAATGAATGAATCTATAATAAAAGTAGCCAACTATAATTTTTTGAGATGATTAAACCAACAGAAAGTTACAAAATTAAATTAAGTTCAGTATTTATTCATTTTAGGGTAAATGTTTCCTATCTTAAAACACTTAGCCTTGCGGCCTATAATGAATTAAAGTAACTAACCCATGAATTTTAACTCAGACAGTGCATATTCTGTAACAGTCTATCCGTTTCATTTAGGGCTTTGCATATCTCTCTCATTGAAAAATTTCATTCGATGATACTTTATTATAAACAGTAATATACACATTATCTGTGAAGAAGACATGAACCCTAATGAGCTTTTGAATAGTTTTAATAATTGTCACCCGTCAATTCAATATACCTTAGAAGCAGAGGCAAATAATGAATTTTATTTTCTTGATGTCCGATTGAAAAGAATGCTGGATGGTTTTTTTACAGAGCTATATGTAGAAAACGTACTTGGAATGGACAATACACGAATTTCTATTGTTGGGTCTCACTGAGTAGAAAGAGGAACTTAATTCACTCTTTATCCTCTAGGATCAATTGAATCTGTACCAATGACATAGTTGGTGAAGAACTACTTCAACTTCGACAGACTCTCATCAGAAATGGTTATCCACCTAGATTCGTCGATAGCAACTTAACACCTAGACTTCATCATGAAAAAGTATCGATAGTAGAGAAGAAAACCTTGTTTATGAATATAGAATGTAAAGGACACACAGCTGCTGAAATCTGGAATAAACGGACTTCAAAATCGTTGAATAAAACGTTCTACGCAGCCAAGCTCCGAATTGTTTTCTCTCGTTGACCAACCATTCTAGGATGTGTTAAGGGTAAAATTTCGCTTTGGGTCACATCACTGCGTATCTATAAATTTACTTGCTCATTTGGGGCACATTATACAGGCCGCACAAAGCGATCACTGTCCAGACGTATATCAGAACACTATCCGACTTGGTTTTTAAAAGGAAATTGTAAAACAATTACAAGTTCTATATAGGAGCATTTGATTAACTGTGGACACATTGCTCCAAAAGATTCTTTTTTTAAAGTAATCTACAGAGTCAAAGGAAATGGATCAATAGGGTGTTGAATCAATATTTTATGCACTGCTGAGGTATTGGCAATCCACAAACTCAAGCCTGAACTTTGCGTGCAGAAATGATTCGTCCAACCGTTCATCCTTCCTTGGCCTTAATTCCCTTAATGATTATATTTTGGGTTGTTTTTTTGTACTTTTATTTGGTTATTAGTGAATTCTTTTTGACTTTTAAATTATTGTTTTACAATTTTAAACTCGAATAAGTTATTCTTATTACCTTATATAAGTTTTATTATTATTATTCAGTTTATTATTATGACATTTGTGTTTGTCGTTTTCCTTCATATCTGTCAATTGGACTATTATCTGACCCATAAACTATTTTCTTCTTTACCCCTTGATTAGTACGTAACTTCATTTGTTATTTAATCTCAAATCCATTTTTGTAATGCAATCTTTTCTATCCTCCTATAGATATATATTTTCCATATACGAATGTACAGCTTAAGTAGACGATTTCGTCGAAAAAAAATTTTCTTCGCTGAATTCTCTTTTTCTTATTCAATGACATAAAATATAAATAAAATAATTCCAGTCAACTTTTTAATTTGTGATTGATTTCATGTGGGGAAAAAGGTATTGATTGTTTTTTCTTCGGAGATGGCTATAAATATTATAAGTGAATGATTGTCTTATCAACTGATCATATGCTATGAGACATGTTAAGTTTTTAAGCTTAAATAAAAATAAAAGGTATTCAATTAAGATATTGTACTAAAAAGTTTCAACGCCTTAGTTTCTGATACATTGACGATGAATAGACTGAAAACATACAAAAGTAAGATTAACGATTTGTATTGATGTTTAGAAATTATTATTTAAGTAAATATCTTTCTAAAATCAGATGATATAATTGTTTTGGAAAGTGATTTTTACCTTGAATTTCGGTCCTTTCATACAAGCTATAATCCATGTTGATAACTAAACATATAGTTGAGAATTTAAGAGTTAGTAAAAATATAATATATCTGTTTTGTTTATTACAACTGTAAATTTTTGAACAATTTTAAGTGCTATATTAGTCAGAGCCGTTGAGTACCCTGTTATCTTTTATATCTTAAAGAATGTACACGATTATTTTCTTAAATTGGCATAAATGAAGTACTTGGCTGTTATGAAAAAAAGTGCGTATCATAAAAATAATTAAAATCATCATATGCATTTTAATCACTATGTAAGAAAAGTGTGAAACAATTGGAATACATGAAGCTCTTTTATTACAGTAATTTATTTATTCTTAGAAATGGAGGAAAGTTCTAATGCAACTGATTGATTAAATGATTTAAGTTGTACCCTAAGAATACGTTATACAATTCAGATATTTCTCTTTGCATAACAGTCATAATATAACAGTAAGGTTGTTTATTTTTATAAATATAGTTGTAAATAAGATTCTAAGTAACATTAAGTTAATGTTGCCTTTTTGTTCTTTAATTATATCCTAAGAAAAATCTATGACTAAATACTAAGCAATGATAGAAGATTTAATGAAAAATTAACACAGTAGTTCTTATATTTTGAGTCTGTTTTTCATCACGGATTAATGTCAACCAAAGGACCATATAAAATCAAAAGGTACTAAACATCACTTCTTTCCGGTTTAAGATACCCCCTATCCTTGTGACATTTTCAACCGAAGACCTTTAGATCTCAAGGTAACAATGATACCACGTATGTATTACTGCATGAAACTGAATGTTAGTATTCATCAAGACTGTAAAATGTGTTTCCACCTTGAAGGAAACGAGAAAAAAAATGAAACTTTATTAGTTTTCTGTCA